TTATCTGCAGCCGCTTTGGAGGTACGTCATATCACAATTACATGCCGCTTTATGCAGATTCAAGACGTGCACAACTGAAAATACATTTGTTACTGGAGAAGACCTGGTGTAGTCAGACTTGTTCGTTTATTTGTCCCCAAAAACATATATTTTTAAGATGCTCACTTAATGCACAAATTACAGTATTTGGTTTTGCAACAAGCAAATTCAATAAAATTGGCAGAATACACATTTTCTACATACTGTATTTAAAATTTTAATTATCTGCAACAGAAGACATTTTTTCTATATTTTAAATAATCCAACTTTTGTTGTTGCTTTTCTTGGTCACTGCAGAACGTCTTCACAGATTTAGAAGTATTAGCTGCGTTATATGCGTCTGCTATACATGATGTTCACCATCCTGGGCTTAATAATCAATTCCTCATTGAAACAGGTATGTACTTTTGTGGATTGGAGTTTCCTGCAAAGGGAAATGTATTGAAGAATGCCTTTCCTCATAGTTTCAGTTATAGCGCCACAGTCACTGCCAGTGAAAATTCATATTTTCTGTATTTTACAAGTATTGTATCAGACGCATGGGACCATATCAAAGAATGCGCTGCATCACAACAGTTAATGTTTTTTTCATTTGAAACTTTTTTCACTGACAATAAAATGTCTGCGTTTACATGTGTGTGCCTATGTAGCTAAAAACACGTGAAAATCAGGAAACATGTACCTTGCTGTTTTTGTGATTATTCAATATCTAGTTCACATGGTGATTGGTAGAAATGCATCACATGACCTGTGAACTGTAGAATATACCAAGATTACGAAATGTTTTGTTTATAAATTTTAATAATAATGTTCTTGGTCTAGATAATGAATTGGCACTTATGTACAATGACGAGTCGGTCCTAGAGAGCCATCATCTGGCTGTGGCTTTTAAACTTTTGCAAGAAGAAAACTGTGACATTTTACAGAATTTGAGTCGAAAGCAGAGAAGGACGTTTCGAAAGATGGTTATTGATATGGTGAGTTTATAAATTTTATTTTTACGACCCATTCTCATATCACTTTTGAAGTGTTTTTTTAGAAATGTATGCAGGAAACTGATGTAACAATACCTTGGATGTTGATGATAGCATCTCAAATTCATTGGATACACAGATATATTATAGAAAACAAATGACATATCCAGCTGTACCAAGTGTTAGTGTGGGGGATATTTACCTAATTTCTTCCTCCCCCTTAATTCTATGAATTGCAGAAGTTTTGTGTTGCTGAAGAGGGTGTTTATATTGAGTGTATAAAAGTCATGCAAATTTAAAATATCCATTGATTGGGAAAAGTCATCTCTTTAATATCTGGTTTAATAGTTGCTGATTTCCCAGATGTTATATAAATTATATTTTAGATGTTTATTCTTCTGCCCCGTATCTAACTACATTTGTTTTGATTTTTCATAGGTGCTAGCAACTGACATGTCAAAACACATGAGTTTACTTGCTGACTTGAAAACTATGGTGGAAACCAAAAAAGTTGCTGGCTCGGGATTACTTCTGTTGGATAACTACACAGATAGAATACAGGTAATGAATTTATGACCCAGCCTTTAGCCTTAAAAATGTATAGTTCTCTTTGTTTTTTAGTGTTGTTTGATGGATCAAAATGCAAACTGCTGAATTTTAATTCGTAGAAATGTTTGTAGTATGTTGATCTGAGGGCAGACATTTTGTTAAAGTCACTGCATGTGATTCCCTTCCTTGGTGGGGGAGGGGGGCACTGAAATGGTTCATTATTTGTTACATATCGCTATTTTTTATGAATTGCAAAATTTGTCTGGTATTATTGAAATGAGTTATACTTTGTTGGACATTAAATTATTTTGTTATTATAGGTAATTTTATTTTGTTTAAAATTTATTGGTCATCTGTCTGACTGACAGACTGACAAAGACTTCCTTTGTTCAGCTCTAATGTATAACAATGAAATGAGCTTGCCAATATTGAAATCTTAAATGGTAATTGAAAGTCAAATCTATTTTAGGGATTAATTGTACTCATATACTGTTTATCAACAAAAATAGATATGGTTAATATACATGTGCTCCATACATGTGTTATAGTAACTGTACATAATGAAAGAACTGTTCAGAGTGTACAAGTATAACCCGTTAGTACCCGTGGTTACCATGGAGATGTGGTTACCATCTGTGAATCTTATTACTTTAAAATTTGTTTTAACATTGTTGCATATGTTTTTTTATACAAAATTGTTTACTACAAGTATTTATCTATTCATTCAATACACAGTTAAACAGGCAACCCCATTAACAGAACTGGAAAAAATATATACAATGCATAAAGAAAACACATACAAATACAAGAAAAGCAGATATACATCAAAATGACAAAGTAACAAAATAAAAATGAAAATAATTATACAGTACAGATTTAAAACTATATAAAAATGTAAAAATATCAATATTACATTTAAATGAAATAATGTCTTACAACTTAAAAGTGACAAATGCTTCCTGCAATTGACTGATCCACAGTCAAGTTTAAAAAATGGTTTGCATCTCAAACACCTATTTAGAACATAAAAGTCAATATTGACAAGAATAACAGGGCAGTCATAAGAAAAATTAACAATCTTATATAAAAAGAGAAGATCAAGAATAGTTCTGATAAAAGAGGAATGTTAAAAAGTTTGCAATAAATAGGATAACATGAAATACTACAATGCACACGTAACTTTCTACATAAATATTTAACAAATTTAACAATTTTCAGCCACAACACCATTTGAATTAATTGGCATGAAAGTATCGCGACTTCTTAAAACAAATACCTTTTTTGGCAATTTGCATTATAATCTCAAAAGTTCTAGAATTTTATCATATTTCATTCTCGAGAAGGTAAACACAGGATAGGGAACTTCTGCTGTCAATTTAAAACTTGGCACAATGGCTACAGGAATGGTTAATATAAAGGATCTATTCAGTAACTATGCTGCAGGCAATGACGCTGCATAACTTGTATTGACAGTTCAGTATACCATTACTATATCAGTTGTGACACTTATTCTGCATAACAACAGGTAGTTGTTGAAAATAGCTTTTATACAAAACTGGGTAAAGACGTACTTGAACCATCGTGTTATTATCGCCTGTGGCAGGATTGAGTCGCTGAACGGCAAACAGTCTATTAATTCCAATTGAACTTTAAAGCACACATACGTGTTTTATTGACTTTTCCGTCCCAATAGAGCAATTGTCTTCACGTCGACTAGCATGAACTCACATGGATGCATTTCAATCATGTTTTAACTGATGTCAATTTTAACCTAGCTGTATAGCACCACATTTTTATTGAGTTCATACATTCATTGTGTTTAATTTAGACATTAATTGGGGTGCAATTTTAATTTGTCAAATACTTAATTAATCATCACTGAATCATGTCATTTTGGACAAAAATCTATTATTTGTTTTTTTATTAAAATTTCAAAAAATGACAACTTTTTCATTGTGCAAATGAAATTATGATGTATTAATAATCATCTCTATAAATTTCACTCTTGATATTGGTTGTAAATTATCACCATATTTTTAGTGCAACATTTTGGACATTTTGATGTATCTACTGCCATTTCTATCTATTAAAGTCTTTCGGTCTGCAATAGTATGCCACTGCTAAGTTGGTATGATTCTAAGACGACTGAAATCAACTAACCACAATTTACTTTTTAATAAAGGTTCTTCAAAATATGGTCCATTGCGCTGACTTGGGGAACCCAACCAAGCCGTTGGAGCTTTATAGGAAATGGACAGAGAGGGTCATTGAAGAATTTTTCCGGCAGGGTGACAAGGAGAGAAAGCTAGGAATGACTATAAGCCCGATGATGGACAGAGAAAACGCGTCAGTTGAGAAATCACAGGTATTGTTTTCTGTCCTTTGAATTCTCAGATTATTCTGATGATGGTTTGTTTTTTTATTATTTGTTAGGTTCTAAGCACAATTCCTACTTCAGGATAACATAACATTTCTTATGGTTAGTTCTCACTGTAACTGTTGTTGTTGTCGATAAAACGTTTGGCAAATACGCAACTTGCTTGATCATAAAAATATCCCAGAATGTTCCAAAGGGATCTTTTGATATTAAATTGCCCTTCATGCCTTCTTTTGCTTTCCTACACAGACAACTGATTGTATTTAGTATATTTGACATAAATAGTTAAAGAGAGATATTTTTGAATGGAAATAGGGAAATTGACAACTTTAAAGTCTATTTAAACAATAAGATTAACTCCAACATAAGCATTGATTTCAATGACTCCACCATAAGCATTGCTTTGATGCAAGATAGTTTGCGAGCCACTGTTATATAGAAGCACACCATAAGGCGAGGACAGACTCTGAATCCAATATATCATTGCGCAGAGTGAGATCATATTACTGAGTTTATCTTAAACAAGTATGAGTGTGATTTGCATAAACTGATATATTGTGATTTATTTCGTGAGATGCTTCTCGTCCAAACCACATGGTGTTCCAAAATATGAAAGGTGACAATGTAATATATATAAAATAACAACTTGTGTATTTGAGAGTTGACTTGCTGATGGTGATCGTAATTTACATATTAAATCATTTTAATTTGGTATTTTCTTTAATCACTTAGGTGGGCTTCATTGACTTCATTGTTCACCCATTGTGGGAAACTTGGGCCGATCTGGTGTATCCGGACGCTCAGGAAATCCTGGACACACTGGAAGATAACCGAGATTGGTATCAAAGTATGATACCGATTAGTCCCTCACCCAATTACAAAGAAGGGGAAGAAAAGTTTCAATTTGATATGGATGAAGGACAGAGTAATAATAAATCGTTGATGGTAAACGAAGTATGCAACCCTGGAGATGCTGAGGAGGTGAACGAGGGGGTTCCAGAAAAAGCTGCGACGAATTCGTGATTCTGTAAGAAGCATTGAAGTGCATGATGTTCATTTCTTGGTCCTGACAATTTTGTTTTCAATCACTAGCCAGCCAATGAACAAAAATATAGGCACTAGAAATACAATGCAGAGTGTGTACATGTGGTCAAGGATTACACGGTGTGTGCAGTTCAGAAAAAAAACAAAGCCTATATTTTTTGTTCTTGTAGACGACTTTTTTGCTCCTACATTGTATAACATTGGCTCTTCATATGATCATGTGACCATATCAGGGATTGTACATTTCTGTTGAATGCTTCTCATACTGAAATGTTTACCAAATGTTGTAATTTAGTAAAAATATTTTATTTTTTAATCAAATCTTACCCAAAAATCCTGTATAAACAAATCCTATTTACCTCTGCTGTCAATACTGCCAACGTTATTCTCATAAGTTAATGTTGCATCTTCTGTTGTCATGGCAACAGTTGATGATGTGCGAGAGAAAGGACAAACTGACTATTTTGTACTAGCAGGAATCTGCTTTTACCTCAATATTATTTTATTAGAAAAAAACTTTTTATTTAAAATACCTTCTTGAATTATTTTTAAATTAATCGATTTAGAAAATTGGACAAAAAGTCATCATTTTAACAATAATTTATGGCATCTCTGTTATAAACATATATTTTACTGACAAAAATAATGGCTATCTCACTCTCCAAAGATGGAAGAAAATGGTTACTGCTTTGTATTTATATTTTTTGGGCAAAAAAATAATCATGCTTTCAATTTACTACATTGTAATATGTAGAAAAGTTATGGGATATTCTATTCCTGGTGGCTAGGTTAAAATTTGAAAGTACAAAACTCAGAAAAAGTAGAGTATACTTTTGTTCTGTTATGTATAAATGGCTACATCTCGTGTACTTGTAGAATTAAGAATGCTTGTAAGATATGTACATGTAATAATGTGTATTTTAAAACAAAACAAAAAAATGCTTTATACAGAGATTCCTTATTATTTTAGACTTCAATAGTGAAGCAGTAGAAACCAAAATGGCTGAACAAATTGTTATTTTAGGGTGCATGAATTGTAAGGCTCCTTATATGGAGTGACTATATATTGTACATTGGTCGTGAAGTCACATGGATGACTATATATATGAAAATAATGACCTGCAACTATTGTAAATATACTGTTTATATAGTGTTTAATGAAACAAATAGTAACCTATGGGTGGTTGAGTAAAAATGAACAGTGAATATTCAAATTAGTTAATGAATATTCATGACATATTAAATGTTTAAGTTAATGAATATTCATGATATAGAATGTTTAAGATAATGAATATTCATGATATAGAATGTTTAAGTTAATGAATATTCTGGCACATTGTTTAATTTAATGAATATTCTTACACTTTGGTGGTTGGATAAAAACGGATTAGTGAATACTCAAATTGGTCTGGTTAATGAATATTTATGAAAGTAGTGAATATTCATGACACTTTGTTCAAATTAATGAATATTCATGAAAGTAATGAATATTCATGATACATCAAATGTTCAAGTTAATGAATATTCATGACACTTTGTTCAAATTAATGAATATTCATGAGTAACTTGAATCAATATTCAGGATACAATTAATATACATAAATATTGAGGAATGTTATATAACCTTCCATATTATATATTTAATTTTTTTTTATTTATTGAGTGACTTGTATAGCTTCTTCTTAGAAGGTATATGGCATATTTTCTGTTTGTCTTTTTTATGTTTGAACAACTTTATTTTTATGGATTCATAATATCTATTACATTTAGAGTGATTTTTAATTGAGGTGTCTTTTTAAATTATGATTACTCAAATATCAGACATTACTATTTGGGACGGGGCTTATTTTTTGGCACTACTATTCAAGCTGTGGGTTTTGAGTTGGTAGTATTCTCTATTGTTACAAAAGTGAAATAAATGTAACAATGCATTCTGGACATATTGGGTTCAATTATATAGACCTAAAGGTGTATTATTTTCTTTGAATTAAACTCGCCCAAAGCCTAGTATGGGTTAAACATTGAGTTTATAGCATGGCACATCACAAATGCCAATTACTAGTAAAACAAGTCAGTTAGACACAAGTGAAGACAAATAATAGGGTTATATTTCTTATTTATAGGGTTGCCTCTAAGAGCAACTACCAATATTTAGAATGACAATTTCAGTCATATTCCCTGGATTAAATGTATTTGTCTTATTTCACCATAAATGAATATAAAATTCTCAGTACAGATGAATACTCATCAAAGTGACAAAGAAAGTTGTGGCTTCTCAGAAGTAGGTGTCATCCAAGGAGAGTCGATGCGTGTCATTCAAGGAGAGTCGGGTCTCATTCAAGAAGAGTCAGTGGAAGTCATTCAAGGCGAGTCAGTGGGTGTCATTCAAGGAGAGTCAGTGGAAGTCATTCACGGAGAGTCAGTGGAAGTCATTCACGGAGAGTCAGAGGGTGTCGTTCAAGGAGAGTCAGAGGGTGTCATTCAAGGAGAGTCAGGTCTCATTCAAGGAGAGTCAGAGGGTGTCATCCAAGGAGAGTCAGAGGGTGTCATCCAAGGAGAGGCAATGGGTGTCATCCAAGGAGAGGCAATGGGTGTCATCCAAGGATAGTCAGAGGGTGTCATCCAAAGAGAGTCAGAGGGTGTCATCCAAGGAGAGGCAATGGGTGTCATCCAAGGAGAGGCAATGGGTGTCATCCAAGGAGAGGCAATGGGTGTCATTCAAGGAGAGTCAGGTCTCATTCAAGAAGAGTCAGTGGAAGTCATTCAAGGAGAGTCGGAGGGTGTCGTTCAAAGAGAGTCAGAAGGTGTCATCCAAGGAGAGTCAGAAGGTGCCATCCAAGGAGAGTCAATGGGTTTCATTCAAGGAGAGTCAGGTCTCATTCAAGGAGAGTCAGTGGGTCTCATTCAAAGAGAGTCAGAGGGTGTCATCCAAGGAGAGTCAGAGGGTCTCATTCAAAGAGAGTCAGTGGGTCTCATTCAAAGAGAGTCAGAGGGTGTCATTCAAGGAGTCAGAAGGTATCATTCAAGGAGAGTCAGTGGGTGTCATTCAAAGAGAGTCGTAGGGTGTCATTCAAAGAGAGTCAGTGGGTCTCATTCAAAGAGAGTCAGTGGGTCTCATTCAAAGAGAGTCAGTGGGTCTCATTCAAAGAGAGTCAGTGGGTCTCATTCAAAGAGAGTCAGAGGGTGTCATTCAAAGAGTCAGTGGGTCTCATTCAAAGAGAGTCAGTGGGTCTCATTCAAAGAGAGTCAGTGGGTCTCATTCAAAGAGAGTCAGTGGGTCTCATTCAAAGAGAGTCAGTGGGTCTCATTCAAAGAGAGTCAGTGGGTCTCATTCAAAGAGTCAGTGGGTCTCATTCAAAGAGAGTCAGTGGGTCTCATTCAAAGAGAGTCAGTGGGTGTCATTCAAAGAGAGTCAGAGGGTGTCATTCAAGGAGAGTCAGTGGGTCTCATTCAAAGAGAGTCAGAGGGTGTCATTCAAGGAGAGTCAGTGGGTCTCATTCAAAGAGAGTCAGAGGGTCTCATTCAAAGAGAGTCAGAGGGTCTCATTCAAGGAGACAATTCAGTGATAATGAGTGTCATTCAGTTTTCTGAAGTCTTGCATTTTGTTCTGTCAAATCATTATGAACATGGAACATTTGGAACAATAATGCAATTCGTGGTTGTTGATATTCTATGATAATTTATCTAAAACAGCTCACCGAACACTGAAATGGCATTTCATTGCAGCACCAAAACATAATACATCGCCTCTATAGTTGGACAGAAACATGATGGAGTGCCCTCTGTAGTTTGTGTTTAATAATAATTTAATTAATATTGAATGGCCACCTATTACATAGAAATGAAAGTGACCCTATACCTCTGGGAACCTACAGTATTTTTTTTTATTTTAGTGATACCATACTATGTTTCTCATCAGTACATGGCTTCCCTTCCCAAGTCATTATCTGTGGGTCATAAGAGTTCATATTGAAAATCGCTCATTTCCAGCAAGGATCTAGGTCTAAGGTCACGTCTTAAAACATAATTAATGCTCATGATATGTGCCAATATTATTCACTTGGCTATGTGAGCTATACATTTATGGCAATAGGCTAACACATCCCCAACTGAAAACCTCCATGGTTTGCTAAAACAAACTTCTTCAGCATGCGATGTGTTGAAAAGCCACGGTCGTTTCACCATGTAGTGTTTGATATTGGTTCTGTGCGATGCATAAAATGCGAGTAAAATACATTTGTCGTTTACACTGGAATATGAACACGTGCTTCATGAAGACTGTGGCACCTCAACAAGATCCTAGCTGGATTATCTTTCAAGTTTCATGCTCCAAGTTTTACATCTGTCATTGTAACGAACTGAAAATGGGAAATGGTAGTGAATACAAATAAAAAAATCATACATAAATGAAATAATGTTGTGATTTGTGTTGTTTATATGCAGTACGTGGAGGCAATTATCTGTGCAGTCACAATAACCAGTGAAACTCTGCGGCCATCTAGTACGCAATCAATGAACCTGTACTGTATATCTGAATACCCTCACTGCACACATGCCCAGACATATTAATTGATTGCATGTGTATTATTTACTGCGAGATGTCATACTTTTCTACTTTGCACATTCACATGCAATAAATGTTAATAGGGAAGGATGGTGTAAGATGAATTGCTGATTATAATGAGCAAATCTTCTCGTGTGCAAATTGCTGCAAGAGGAACAGCATCAAATGGAGGAAAAACATGTGGTCAGTGCCTGAATTCATATCCCATCCCCTTCTGGTTCACAACCAGAGTCCACTCTAACATTATTAGTTGTATGATACCTTGATGTCCCACAGTCAAGAGTAGAGTAGACAAGTTGCTTACTCGTGCTTCTTGGGAGCGGCTGCTTACCGAACATTATTTGATGTTTAAAGGTATGCAATATTTTTTGTAATTTTTGATCCAACCCTTCTGTGTTGCAACTTATAAATAATGGGAAAATGGTTTGATTGTATAATTAATTAACAATATTTACAGTAAATAATTTCTTATGTATACTACTTTCTCTTGCTCAACACTAGAGGGGG